GGTTTCGAGGGAATTTGGAAAGCGGGGAGCGAAATTAAAGGAAAAAAAGTTTAGAAGTTAAGAGATAGGGAGGAAAAAAAAACTTTTAGAAGAACAAAATTCAAAAGGGAGCAAGTTTTTTTTTTTTTACATATATTTTTTTTTCCCAAGAGGAGGAAAAAAAGATAATTGAGGGAGGGCAAAATAATAATAATAATAATAATTGCGGAGGGCTTGATCCGGGAGAACAATACTCGCCGGGAAAGTTGCTGCGCGGCGGGGAGGGAGCGGCGGGAGGAAAATGCCGCAGCTGGGCAGCGGCGGCGGGGACGACCTGGGCGCCACGGACGAGATGCTGGCCTTCAAGGACGAGGGCGAGCAGGAGGAGAAGATCCCCGAGAACGCCTTCACCGAGCGCGACCTGGCCGACCTCAAGTCCTCGCTGGTGAACGAGTCCGAGGGCAGCGGCAGCCCGGCCGCCGCCGCCGCAGACCCCGAGGTGGGTGAGCCCGGCCCGATCCGCGCCCCCTGCCCGGCCCCGCGCCCCCTCCCCACCGCCCCCGCGCTGCCCCTCTCTCTCCTCCCCATGCAGGCCCTCCGGAGAGTGCAGGATCCGCAGAGAGTTTACCAGGAGAAGCTCCCGGACCACATGGATGATGGTTAGTCACGGCAGTCCCCGCGTGTTTCCCTGTGTCCCCCTCCCTCTCCTCGTCCCCGGTTCCCGCTGGTCTTCCCCGGTGTGCCCTGCCCAGTGCTCGCCCTCCCCGGGGTGGTGATCCCCCTGGTCCCCCAGCCCATCACCCTGTCAAGCCCCGGGAGGGAGGGATGTCAGCCTGGCCATCACAGCCCCCCGTGGGAAAGCTGAGTTTGTCAGCACCGAGACCTCCCAGTGTCCTTAGTGTGGGATCCCACACCCATGGGGGACCCTGGCACCCCCCAACGCTTTCTCCAGGGAATACAGGACAAAAAGACTCCCACAACATGCTGTAACCTCTTTGAGGACCCCTGACAGGCAGGGGAATCACCTGTGAAAAGGCCAATTTTGACAGGGCACGTTGATTTCAGCAGGTATGAAACATCAGGACCCAGGGATGTATAAAGGATCTGCATACTCCGGCTACCCTTTCCTGATGCTCTCAGATCCGTATCTGCCAAATGGATCTATGTCACCTCTGGTGAGTTCCTCCTCTCCTCATGGAGAAGTTTCCTGGCCTCTGTCACTGCTGAAGTATGTTGTGGGTATTGTGCAGGCACCTCTGTGTGCTTTTTTCCTGACAAACTGGAGCCTGTTCTGTCCGAGCCGAAGGGAGAAGCCATGGGAAGGGGCAGAGATGCTCGGCAGGAAGCGCCTTCTTGGCTCTGAATTTGCTGGAGGAGCTGCCTTCCCCATCTCCCCATCCTCTAGGTTTGCCTTTACTCCTCCAACAGTCAAACCCTAATATCCAGTGGAAGAATGTCCCTTCGTTTTTCTGGGTCGCAGGCTTTGGAAGGAGCAGCCCCTGGTGTTTGTGTCCGGGGACGTGTCCCGCAGCCGAAGTTGAGCTCGATGTGTCTGCTTGTAAAACAGCCAGGTTCTGGTGTGCTGTGGGTTAGGGCTGTGTGGTGGATGATGGCTCAGAAAGTGGGCCTTGTGCTTCTAAAATAGCAATAGAGGTTTTTAGGAAAAGGCTTCACGCTGCTGGAGGACTGTTCCCGTCTTCTTGCTGTAAAGTTTTTCCCTCTCGGTTTAGATCAGCTTCAGTAATTCTGTATGTTGTAATATTTCTAAGTTTTTGCTATGTGAATGATTGAACTAAAGGCTTCTCTACCAAAGCTGTCTCTTCCCATCCCCATCTCTATCAGAACTGCAGAAATCAGTGTGCCAACTTTGCAGCAGTCAGTTGGTGCCCATGTGGCTCCTGGGGAGCCGGCACTGCTGCGTTTGTCTCAGACATTATTCTTCATCAGCCTTCAGCAAAGAAGGACAGAACGTAATTTGGTTTATTTGAGGTTTAGTTTTTAACCTTTAAAGGGGTAAGGTTTAAAAGGACCTATAAAACCGTCCTTAATTCCGGTCGTTTGTTCACAAGAGGGATAGGATGTTAAACTGGTGTTATGAAAAGTTGGTGGGCTGTGGGGTGTGGAACTCAGTGTTATTTGTGGGAATCAGTGCCGTACCCTCATGCCTGACCCAGCTTGCCTGGGCAGCAGGAGACAGGTCCCACATAAGCATTTCTTCTGGTGCTTCCTACCTTGTGCCCCTTCATCCAGGTATCAGCTATCCCCCCCATCCCCTTAGATACAAAGCTGTTCACTTCCTGATAAATTTTAAATGATATTAAATTTGTCTTATTGAAACACATTTAGTGTGCTCACTGAGATAGAATCTGGGTGAGTTCAGAGTTACATTAGTCCAGCAACTATCTGTTGTAGTGGAATATTTCTTTTAATCTTAAACTCTTCCTAGATGGGCAGCAAAGTGCAATAGCCTATTTATTAGCAGTTAGGCTAAAAAGCAGATTGTGGTTTGGGAATCGCCTCTCCCCTTGATAATGGAATGAAATCCAAGTGGTTACTGTCAGAGCAGCAGGCAGGAGTAAATACACTGTGCAGAACTCGAAGGGGAGAAAACTTAAGTAGCAGAGGAAGAATGATCCAGTGCCCGTGAGAGCCACCAAAATCATCCAGTGCCTCAGCCAGCTTCCCTTAGGCCTGCTCAGGTCGTGCCGTGGCTTATGTTGTGTGACTTTAAAGAGCTGATTTGATGTTTTCAGCTAAAAATCTGTTACCCAACAGACAGGGGAAGATTTATTCCTCAGATCAAGGCTGGTCTTGTGGTTTTCCAATTTACTGCAATAGTTATTCCAGTATATTATTCTGGGCAATTTTGTCTTGTGTTTCTATTGACTTGTGCAAAGGTTATCATGGTAAATTATGGATTGCTCTCATTTGGATTTATTGCTGCTGTGTACATTATGTGAAGTGTGGGCTATAATCTGGTGGCTGCTTCCAATAATTGGGGAGGTCAGATCTGTGACCGAAGATTGCAGATACTTAACCATCCATAAAAGTGTGTTTAATTAACACTTTAGCACAAGTAGAGAGTCGGGGAGGAAGGTTGTGTGAGTGAATGGGATTACATATCACAGCCATGCGTGCTCTTGATAGTGGAGATTGTATTTTGGTTAATGAGGCTTCCTGGAAACGGTTGTTTGCAGCCGGGATTAATTTTAGAATCTTCAAAAAAAAAAAGAATATAAATTAAAAGATTAACCCAGGAGTACTCTGGCAAACTTTCAGGGCTTTGCATTGAAAATAGTAATTTACCTGATTGAGAACAGAGTATAACTCCCTGAAAGATGAGGGGCAGCCAAGGCTGGGGCTGAGCCCCTGCCCTGCAATGCTCTGTAAAACCACATTTTTTTTCGGTGGGCTCCCCACGAACCCCGTCAGGGCCCTGCAAGCACCGCTGGAGCTGCCTGGGTGGGTGTGTTGCTACCGGCACCGCTGCTTTCCTATTTTCTTTCTGATTTTCTCAGCAGCAGCATCACTTCTGCTTTGTTTCCCTCGAGGTGGTTGTAGCCACTAACTGTTAGGCTGCTCGCCCCAGCATCCTGCTCGGCTCCCCGCATCTCCCGGCCCCAATTGCCTCTTTTTACCAAAACACACCCACTCGTGTTATTTACGAGCTGTGATGCCGCTCCAGAGCGATGCTCTGAAGGTGTCTGGGCACCTGCCACCGGCAGCGAGGCCGAGCCCAGCTGGTGGTCCCTGGAGGGCCAGCAGCAGCAGGAGGGTGGCCAGGGCTCCTCGCAGCAGGGTGGCCCACCTCGGCCGCAGGTGGCGAATGCCAGTGTGGGATAATTCAGCTGGAGTGATGCTGGTTTGAGCAGGCACAGCTTTCCTGGGCTGGCAGCGGGGCTGTCACAGGGGGTGCAGCCAGGGTGAAGGTGCTTCTGGAGCTGCGTCCCAGGCAGTGGGCCGAGCCTGGGTTTTGGGAGCGAGCTGTGAACCCCATCAGCCGCTGGGCTGGGGAGGTCAAGGGTGTCAGGAACCCCTCAGCGTAGCCCGTGTGCACCTGAAATCCCAACGTTCTGCCAGGCCCCAGCAGAGCTGGCTCTCACCTGGCTCCCAGGTGCTGTGTGAGTGGTGCTTCAGGGCTCCACTTCCAACTCTCCCGTCTCATGCAAAGCCCAGTTTTTCCCGGAGTGAAATATATGGGATTTATGGGTTAAAAACCTGCGAGAAACTTCCAAAGAACATGAGCAAGCTGAGGAACTGTTTTTCTAAATTAAATATAAAATCATAAAACTATATCCTTTTTTAAATAGTACAAATGACTTTAAATCAAATTAAGGTACATCCTTAGTAAGAACATCAGCCTTTTAGGTGGTTACAAACATTAGAGGTCAGACATGGTCAAACATGTTAACACTTTGATCAGATTAAAATATTTTTCTTGCTACAGTTGTATAATTGAGTTTAGACCTGAGGGGGTTTTCTGAACATTGTTATATCTTGTACCATGTGGTAGTTAAATGGTAGAAGGAGCACTTATAAGTTCCTTTAAGTTCCTTTTGTAAATAGGTTTATAAAATAGGGGAATGAGCCGTGCTGTCCTGTATGTAGGGCACAAGTTCTCCCCACTCCCATTGATGGAAGAGATCCCAGGGGTGCTCCTCACACCTTCTGTGCCCCTCAGATGTGTGTGCCGGGCATGTGAGGTGAAGGCAGGATTAAAATGTTCCATATATAAAGCTGAGGCACTGGGCTTTCTGTCTGTAGGGAAACCAGAAGTCCAAAGGCCTCCATTTCTTTGGAAAACAGACACTTACCTCATTTTCTTAATTATTAAGTTGTCTAACCAGAGCTGACGTGGGAGCAGAAGGGTGGGGGTACCTCGCCAGCCCTGCACCGTCCCCAGATCAGACAGCAGGACTCACAAATAATGCCCCTGTTCAGAGCCTGGTCCCCCTGGTCCGCTGGGCTCCCGGAGCTCCTTCGGAGGGTTTGAAATGTCCCCTTGGGCAGGGCAAGATGAAAGTGCAGTTACTGCTGGCCTGGGGCCACGGGGCCCAAATGTCTAACACGAGGTCAGAAAGCACAGAGCTGCAGTCTGGGGCTGCTCTTTGCTGGACAGAAGCTGAGGCAGCAGCCCCTGAGCCCCGGGACACGGCTGGTCCTGCTGCATCCCCTTCCCCGGGGCTGCTCCATCCCTGCGGGGAGGAGGCCGTGGCCCCCGCAGCAGCTGGCGGAAGGAAATCTGCAGCTCAGCTGCTTCTCTGCGAGGTCTCTCTGTCCTGACTTGCACTGTCAGGGCAATAGTTTAGTATTGCTTTTTCCTGTGCTGAGTTCTGAGCTTGTTGGAGCCGGTGGGAAAGCTCCCCGGAGTCGCCGTGCGGCGGGGGTTTGTCGCTGGGAGAGGACTGCTGCATCCCCCTCCAGATGCTGCGAGTGGAGGGAGGCAGGGAGGGCAGCTGGAGGCCAGCAGGAGCTCCGTGTGTTCCCAGCAGTGCCTGTTGCTGTGGGAGAGCAGCAGCCCAGCCAGGTTCCCTGGCAGCAGGGGATGCACGGCGGGACCTCGCCGGGATGGTGCTCTGTCCCCATAAATCCTCCTATTCCCGGCAGAAAGCGTTGGGAACGCGGTGGCTGCTGATGGACCTCCTGGCAGACAGACAGATGAGTAATTTGTTCCCTCCTGACCAAAGCAAATCCACTTCTTTCAGCTCCTCTACCTAGCTTGGAATAAGATAATGGTGAAAATCGTTTTTTATGTTGAAGCGTAATGTTGGATAGGTGGATGTACGAAGGCACAGGGCTTCCCAGGTCATTTATTGCATGTCTGATTCAGTCTTGGTTCCCCCCAAGGAAAATTCTTGCGTTAATTTCTGAGTTCATATCACACCCTCAATTTTGAAGCAGAACTTCCCTTTGAAATAAATTAGAGAGTTCTGCCTAAGAAGCAGTGACATGATACAGCACTGCCTGTGTGTGGTCTAATATAACCTTATTTTTTAAAATTGTTTGGAATGAAAAAAAGAGAAAGAAAAATGTCACAGGGAAACAAAAGCAAGTTTTATGTAAATCCGTGCATGTGAATAAGTGGGCACGTGATTCAGACAGTTCAACAATATCTGCTCTCCCACTGGGATTCCTTCACAGGCTACCCTGGAACTGGCTTTCCAGGCATGGGATG